GTTGCACCAACAAGATTTCATGTGGATATTGTCACTTTAAAAACTTATAAAACTTGTTGTGATTGTGACTGGCAAGCAAAGCATTTGTCCCTCCAAAAAAAACCCTGTAATGTTCCTTACATTAAAATCCACATTTAAACTTTTAGCTGAACATCCTTTAAAATAAAGATGAAGGCATAGGATAAATATTTCAGATTCGTAAGTCTCATTAGGTTTCTATGAATCAGAGCAAGCTTGGTGCCTTTGTAAATGTCCAAAGAAGGGGGGAAAAAATCATAATGCAGAGTTTTGTTCCAGTAATTTCAGTCACATACAGCAGAAATCCTGCAGCTGAGGTTATTGCATACAGTATCTGGGGGGCAAAACTGGGCTTTAACCTCCTGACTTCATTAGAGAAACAGCATCTTTATTGCACTGAAAACCCAGGTGGTTTGCTGTAATGAACAGAGCTCTTCTCTGTTTTGCTCAGTCAAATCTGTGAATTCCTACTGTTCCATAAAACATCTAGTTTATATCCAGCCTTGTATGTTTGAGATATAAAGAGGATTACACACACACAGACATACTGAGACTTTCATTTTTTCGTTTTTTTTTTTTTTTTTTTTGCAGTATAGGCTCAGTGACTGATTCTGTTTTGGTTCCGACTTGAAATTAGAGAAGGGTTTCATTTTAATGGTGTCATATTGTGCAGCTGACCTCCAAATCTTCTGAACTAGAGGAAGTCATTTTCCCTTTTCTCGTTGGAATAAAGATATCCCCCCGTTTTCTTTTCTCATTGAAAATCCAGCTGAGTTCATGTCAGCGCTGGTAGGGGAAGGTGATAAAATATAATTTGTTCAAAATCAGCAGTGAGTAATTTTCCTTCTATTGCTCAAGTTCTTGAAGCGAACAAGAATACAAACTTATTTTTTAAAGCGCGTTGATCGGAGATGGGGGGTCAACATGTTTCCTATTGGATCATTGTTTGGACCATTTGGGCTGCTGGGTGTTCTGGTTTGGCGCATGTCTAATCAAGAATGAAAATGTAAAACAAACAAAAAGTAGATTTGTCTTGAACACCTTTTTGTTTGTTCCTAAATATTCAATCTGCTTTTTGTTGCACTGGTTTCCTGTGGTTTGTTTTGCTTCCTGACAATTTATTAAGAAGAAAACCCATTTCTTGGACAGCTGGCCTTAGACTGACCCAGTGGCAAAGAGACAAATGAGAATATCTTATGTAACAAACTCATTTATGTGATGGAGCCTGTGGTTCTGCTTCCATTAGTACCTGAATGCACAGTTGATGTTTTTTATATACTTACTGCTTTTTCAAAGCACTAAACCTGGTGCTACATGGTGTGCTGATTCCCTCTCTGACCTGCAAACTTCAGACATTTTTAACAGCACTCCTAGGTTCTTTAGTGTGCACCAGTAAAGTATTATCTTTCTATATAGCAAGCAAAGTTGAACTAATAAGAATGCTTCTCTGTATTTCATTTCAATGCGCTAATGTATTTTCAGGTCCATCCTGACCATTTATTGAATGAGGATGAATGACAGCGGTTGCTTTATTTTCTTCCTTACGTAGGCTGTATAACCTGTCAGTCAGATACTGTTCACTTTCTGTCGGAAATGGAAATTTGCAGCCTCCGTCTCTGAGGCCGCTCGCTGCAGATTTTCTGTCAAACAGGCTGGTTTTCAATTTTGACATTCTGTTTGTTCCCTTTGACCTCACATTACTTCTTGGTCATAAAATTTCTGAATGCGGCTGATGGATGAGCAGCGTCTGTTTGGATTGCTGGCCTGGAGTGGATTCCTAAACTCAGGAATCTTGTTTAAAACCAGTTCCTCTAGTAGCTCCGTCTTCTTCTTTTAGTTTTGTTTTGCTGCTTCTTGTCTTTTTTAAAACCACGTAGGGGAGAAATGCAATGTGACCGCAACTCGTTGCAATAGAAAGCACATCTAGAGACTCCAGAGTCAAAAGTGACGGCTGTGTGCTTTTATTCACACTTTCTCTCTGGACAGCGTGTCGGCTTTAAAATATTTTTTTTTTTTTTACATAATCACAGTGCTGGAAAGCCTCACTCCCCCTGTAGACTGTCATGTTTAGGAACATCAAAGGTGGCTTAAAGTAAATCTTTTACAGGACTTCAGTGTTGTCTGCTGTTATTAATGCAAAGGCTTGTAATCTATTAGCTGGAGGAACACGTTTGACAAATTTCAGCTGGTTGTCATCTGCACATCTAGATTTGTTTTAACATATTCTTTTTAAGCGCGCAGCTCCATTAATTTCCCATGAGCGATTATTGATCTAAGATGAGCAAAGAGACGATGCATGTAGAGACAGACAGAGCAAATTAACTCAGACTTGCCTCCCCTCACAGAAACACACACACCTGTAAATTATTCAAAGCACCAGATGGGGACAGAGAGCACTCGACAGTCAGTGGGACCAGAATTTAGTCAAAACATCCCCATCGTTTTTAATTCAGGAAAAATCAATCAACTTAATGCCTTTTATCCCCAAAAATCAGATCATTGGATTCCACTAACAGTTGTGTAAGTGCAGCCATGTGTTCAGTGTTGGCCTTTCGCTTGTCTTCCCCTGCCAGAGCGAGCTGGCTTCAGACACGGCCGCCCCAGCAAAGGTCAGCCTGTGTGTGTGCGTGTGTGTGTGGATGGAGCAACAGCAGTGATCTGTATAATGGGTTTTGTTGTTCCCAAAGCAGATGAAGATGGAGATTAGGCTTAAAGGGGACAGCAAATTTATTAGGCTTTAATTTCTCAGCAACCCATAATCCCAATGGAAGGAAAAGCTTTATTAGCTCATGAATATTTGCAGCATGTCAGGCTGGCTCTCTGCTTCACATATTCCTCTTTTTTTAAATGGTGCAGCTTTAACCCTGCATCTCCTGAAATTAGATTGTTTGCAGATGTTTTTGACTTTAAAGGCATCAAAAAAATGTGGCTTCATTTAAATTTTCTGTACATGTTATAATAAATGCAGTGCTTTACTGTCTAGATATCAATTTGGGTCATGAACAGCAAGTCGGGTAAAAGTCGAATGCAAAAAGAGAGAAGGCTCAGAAAAACATAAGACGGTATTCAGTGAAGTGAGATGAGAAATCTGTCACTGATCTCGCAGGTTGTATAAAATAAAAAAATATGCTTTTCTTACTTTCAGTGTTTATTACAGCTTTTACAAAGGGTCTCTAAAAATTATAATTGTTCCCTTCTGCGTTCAATACTTTAGTGATTCACATAGGCAGCCTTTGGGTGATTTTAATATTTCTGAGGTTGGATCACCTTTGTACTTAAACGAAGATCATTTTTAGATGATGATTTCTAATTTGATATCTCAAAGGTTCTCAGTGGAGGTGTGTGTGTTTTTTTTTTTTTTTTTTTTTTATTAAAATATACACTGCTGGTTCTGAACTATTCTTTCTCTTAAATGCTGAAATCTCTGCTTTGCTGTAAATCCAAATTATTTAAAGTCTAGCCATTACTTTCCCCCGTTCTCTGCTTTTAGTCTCTCTGATCCTTCTTGTTTTAGGAGGTTTCGCAGCAGGACGTTTTAAAAGGCTCTTCTGCATTCCTGTGTAGAAGCAACCCTTTTTAGTGAATTTGCCTAAAGGTCAGATCCCGTAATGCACTGTATTAATATTAAAGATGACTTTTACTTTGCTCCAGTGGTGAACCTAAGTGTCTGCATGAGATGGAGAATTTTATCTTGCTCTGCTCAAATGTGGCAAGTTGCTTCAGGTTCTACCTGGAAATGATGAACTGTGAAATCTTGCAGGTCAGTGAACAAAAGCAGCAGATGCATGATGCATTGACCACATTTGTTTCCCAATTTAAATCTCTGCCAGGGCAACTGATGAAAGTACGACAGAGGGACAACTAGCTTTGGTTGTAGGTGTTTAAAATACTTTGCAACTTTCCGATCATTGTGTCTTAGTTTTTGCTCAGGCGATTGTGTGTGTTGGTGCAATTGACCAAAATAGATGGTGATCTGTCTTCAGAATGGGATGTGTAAAGCTGAGGAGCATTTAGCCTGCCTTAAGTCGTGCTGCAGTTCAACTGGCTCTATTCTCACAGGCCATCTCTCCCCTCTTGGTGAGAGATGCAGCAAAATTGCTGAGGTAAATCACTTCACTCTCTCAGAAAAATGGTGTGACCTTCAGTGTTCCTCCAACACAGTCACTTCCGAGTTTGGCACCGCTAGCCAGTTTTATAGTTTTTATCTTATGCGTGCTTTACATTTAACTGATGGAAAATTGTTTGGAGGCAGCTAGACTTTGGCTTTGCTCATGTGTGGCGTAACATGGCACAACTGAAGTCGGCTTGTAAACTCATAAAACACTATCTGGGATTAAATGTAGCGAAGCTCTGTAGCGTTTTACTCGTCAGTCGTTCAAGCAATGGCAGAAAACGAGTTCACATTTCTGCAGTAATATTTGAAGCTTTTTTTTTTTTTTTTACATCTGGTGTTCACATTGAGAAATATAAATATGCACCGACATACGATTCATCGAAAACCTGTTGCATCTTGAAGTTTTCCAAGTTCCCATGGATCTTTTTGTCTGGACATGAACTTTTTTTGTTGTTGGTTTTAAATTGTCTGGAATTTTATTGAAGATTTGTGTCTTTATCCAAGTGAAAATGAAGTTGAGTGCAAACCCACAAGTGCCCGCTTTGTGTTGACATACAAGTAGAAAGGTGTTATTGACACCTTTGAGACGTAGGAGCGTGCTGATGTGCTAATGGCTCCGAGTGTCTATAAGGATTTACTGAAGGGTTTGTGTTACATTATCACCTATCCCTCAGAGCCTGGGGACTCTGAAGGGAAGGGATGCTGAGACACCAAGAGATATTGGGCAACTCTACCTGTGCATGTAGCAAAAAACGGTGTCGGATATGACTCATTATCAGTGGAGCTTATCTTAACCTGTAGATATTTTGCTCATGTTGTCTCAAGTCCCCTCTAATGTGGTCCTTCCTCTGTGTTTTCAACTCTGCAGGGAGCAGCCGATCTACACCACCAGGGCCCACGTGTTCCAAATCGATCCCAGCACCAAGAAGAACTGGGTTCCTGCCAGCAAGCAGGCCGTCACCGTCTCTTATTTTTACGACAGCACACGCAACAGCTATCGCATTATCAGCGTGGATGGATCCAAGGTCTGTGTGTGCGTTTTCTGTCAAAGTGTAACGCGATCGTAATGTGCAAACATTTTAACTGCTTTCTGGAGACAAAGATGAGGTTATGCACCCACAGCTAGAACCGAACAGAATGACTCATTATGGATTTTAATGTTGCGTTTGAAGCTCCCACTGATAAGGACCGGCGTAGCATGCTGGTGTTTATTTTTCTTGCGCTTTTCTTTGTTTGAAAAGGTTATTAATTATTATAGCACCGTTTCACAAAAGGCTCCATAAATCCTGAGCGTTGTTTAGAAATGCCTCTTCAGACTTGAGGATGCTGGTTCATCCTTTGAGTAATGTCTGAATGTTTTCTTTCTTTCTGTGTTTTAGGTTAGAGTTGCATGGCTTGAAAAACTAAAACGCCAGGACTTAAGACATTCCAGTTACGAGCCGCTCCACATGAGTTTGGCTCTCTTTCATATTAAAACTATTTCTCTCAGCTGAGTGAAAGAGTAGATGATGGGTTTCCATGGCAATCCTCTGTGTGAAAACCGCCGGAGCATTATGACAGCAGTATCACTCGGCTGACACAGCCAGGCAATAGTTTTTGAGCCTTAAATCGCCCAGCGTTTAAGCAGAGCAACTTGAGAGACAGTGGATTAGGATTACCAACCAAACGTCGGACCGGTGGCTCTCGCAGGATTTCTGTGTGGTTTCATTGGAATATGGGATATCACACAGAAAGCCATTTCTGCCGTCTTCCAGTAAGCGATCAATAAATGCAAACCCAAGTGTTCTTCCAATAGATTTTTTTTTTTTTTTTTTTTGCAAATTTGACCGACCGGATGGAAGTTGTTTTCATCTGCAGGTTGAGCTTATTTTTAAGAAGAATCCTTGCAAAAAGATTTTGGTCTCTCGTTTTGTTGTTCGATTACTTTAAATCCCAAATAAATTAACAGAAATTTGTCGGTGTAATGCGATAAAATTTGAAGAAGTTCAAATGGTTCATAAATATTTTTACAAGGCGTTTAGCATCCTCTATATAAATGATATGACGGCCCTGTTTGCTGCTCCGCTGTCCTCCCCGTCTGCCACATTCCCCCACACTCCTGTAGCCGCCGCAGCAGAGGTGTGTCATAACAACTCTGCAGGGAACCATTACATGTCAAGCATGAGGATAAAGATTTCTGAAATGTTATCTCGGCTTAAGAGGAGATAACGCGTTCAGATTTAGATTTTCGCTCCTTGTTTACAAAGTGAATGTGGCGTCTCTAAGAGCCGAGCAACCAAATTCGAGGAAATGTTGAATCATCGAGTGTTAAATATAGTTTCTGGTTCATTCACTGTAGCTGCAGGGGGAACATGTCTGTCCAGGGTAATGATTTGTTCTGCTGAACATGACGGACCATCAGCTCGCATTTGTCCAGTCATGATGTGTAGGCATCTCACTGATGATGCTGCAGCAAGAGGAAGAGCACATCAGCACTTTCCGCTGTCAGTATCCCGAATCGTACAGCTCAGCCCAGGAACCTGCAAAGTGCTGTGCTCCTTTTTCTTTTTCTATGCTTATGAATTATTCTATTTGTAATAGGTTTTCATACCCTAACCTGACATGTAAAGCGACAAATTTATTTCAGGAGTTAACAATCTGTCATCTTTTCGATTGTCTTTGCTAACAATGTGAGCTTGTTAAAACTCGGATCCCCTCTCTGGCTGCTGAGGGGGAAACCCGACCTAGAAAGTATTAAGTTTTCATTTAACTGGGACTATTGGATAAACCTTTGCAGAGGAAGAGCGTGAAGCATTTCGGATTACTTCTTTTCCTCCCCAGCATTGTAATTCAGGATTATTAAGTTTAAGTTCTGCAGCTCATCATTTTTGTTTACTCCCACTGCAGTAGTTTAAATTGACACACATTTGCAGTGGGTTAATTTAACTTGAGTCAATATTTTGGGGGCTTAAACGGTTTTAGAGCACAAATAAATCTCAATGCATCCTTATCAGATTTAACAGAAATTAGATTCTGTGCGTGTGCAGTAGAACAGATGTAACCTGAACCATCAAGATGTAGGTGCACAAAAGTTTTAAAATTATGTAAAAAACAAACGATTAAGAATATACTGTACAAGATTATAACATCAAAATATCATACCGTTATTACAACGGCAGTGTTTACAACAATATCAGTGCTGCGCATAAAAACGTGCAATAACAGAAAATAAATAAAAACTGAGTTCAGGTTAGACATGGGGTCAGGCATGTAATGGTCAGAGTTCCGCTATTGAAATAAATGAAAGTCGATGCAAAGTCCTTGTGAAGATGGAAAGATGTAACATTTGTGTGCATTTCATTCTTTTTGGTCCAACGTGTGGTTCATTAAATACTGTTGATGATTTTTTAAATGACTAATTCAGTTTTGCGACGTAAACACTGTGAAATGCTCACATATTTATAGTTGGATCACCACTGAACACGGCCGTTTCCTCAGGTTAAAACCCAGAAGAACATGGAAGCCTGTAAAATCCCTTTCAAATGTGTTGCAGTTGCACATTTCTGTGGGCTTTAGAGACTCTATATAAGTGATAGTGTTACAGTTTATTGCTGAAAATCTCACCTTTTTTTTTTCCCACAATGGAGGTTCCTGTCCCATTCACTGACTCCAGCAAATAGGAAATGCCCACAAAAAAAAGACAGTTCTGGGTGTTAAAATGCACTTGAAGATTATTTTGCCAAACTTTAGTCTGAATCTTATTCTTTTGTTGGGGTTTTCTTCAACCCTGCACATTCTCTAGTGTAGTGACAAGGAGGCATTTTTATTTCGACAGTCTATAACTCCGTCCTGCTGTTTGTGCATCTGTCAGGCTCAGAATTGTTGTTTTGAGAGGATGCTTCGTAGTTTTCAGAAAGCTCCATTGTTCTTGTGAAGTGTGGTTTTAAAATGGAGCTGGATTGGCTGTTTTGCTGCATGTGCAGCTGTCATGAGAATGAACAGAGCTGTTAAGCCCCAAAACAATTACCAAACAGGATCACACCAAACCTGGTATGAGTTAATCTGAAGCTCCAACAGCAGCTCCGTTCATAAACGCAGCATAATCAGAAACATTATTTACTAGTAAAAATGCTGCTCCCTATCAGCTGAATGTCAGGAACTGAATTTCCTCCATATTTGGATATGCATTTTTTTTTATTAATATTGCAGCAACCTGCAGAGCGACATTCTCCTGAGTTTTCAGCTAAAGTTCTGCATAAATGTCCTCAAACATCTCTACAGCTTTATTTACTGAAGGAATGAATCCAGGTAAAGCGGAAGAAAGGATGTGCTCACATTCCAGGCATATTAGCCTCCCATCAGCGTAACAACCAGGAAACATTCCCACTCACACCGATTGAGACCAGACACAGAACATGTGAGCGCTTTTGCCCTCATTTAGATCTTAGAGGGTTCAGATCTTTGATCCCATCATCGACTGCAACTAAATTTACCTTCTGAAGTTCACCTGCGTCATTGCCACCACAGAGACATGGGCATGCGAGTGCATTTTCGGTCTTTGCATATCATAGCGCGTGTGTGTATATATAGTAAGATTAAAAGATTTGGCAAACATACAGAGGAACTTTTGTTTTTTTTTCCTCCTACTTGGCATAACTGTGACAGGCTTTGCTGTCAGCTTCTTCATGATTTGTACTTTGAGTCATACTGTAATGTCAGGTTGTACATTCTGGCTTCTAAGACCCTGGGGAAAAAAAAAGAAAAAAAAAAAACTGTGCCAAGTTGTGGGTTTCACTTTTTTCCCCCTCAGGCCTTTTTCAAATCTTCAAAATCATGTCATTTCTTTCCTGCCCATGAATTTCTTTGCCTGTTTTGCATGACTACTCCTTATTCTGACTTATCGTATTCTGTGGATTCACTAGACACCGAGTTTTTCTATAGTCTTCTGAAAATCTGGGGTTTTTTATCTGCCCCTCGGGACGCGGGCCAGCACCGATCTTGTCTGTGCCTCATGTGCCACTTGATCTGCAGCCCATCTCACCATCCACACAGCTGCCAGCGTCACTCCACTCGCCCTCCCACTCGCACATTTGCTTGCTCACCATGTTGTGCATTCCTACACGCTAAAATACAGTCGGAGGACCTACGTACCAGTTCACTTGACTTTCTTAAAATAAATGCCAACTTTCCCCAGACATTTTGCTCGTATGCCTGTACTGCTAACAAAAATCTGTTAAGTCTTGAAAAATCTTTTTGTTAGAGTAGCATAGTTCATCATGGGGATAAAAGGATCTTTGCTGTATTTACATCGTCCTGGATCCTCTCTTCCCTTCAGCTCTCAGCTCCCACTACAAGTTTTTTCTTATTATATGTTTTAGATCTTGAAAGGGTTTAATGTGGAAGTTGCTTTTTGTTTTGTTTTTTTGTTGTTTTTTGTTTTTCCTGCTGTTGATTTGACCAAATTATGGATCATTCCACAGCTAAAGGCCCAGTGATGATTCATTTTTAGTCTTGCTTGTAGAGGCTTACAGATTATTTGCATTTTAAGTTATCTTTGTGTATTTTTCTTTTATTTAAGAGGCCTTGCTACTTTATGTTGTTGCAGATTTCAGTCTTTCAAAGAGGAAACTGGTCCGCAGCATTACAGACCCTCCATTACGCTTTAGTGGTAGAAGTGACTTTTCAGTATTTACGTGTTTTACAACAGAGTCACTAGAAGTGGGAACCAAAACAATCTTTATTTTCACGATTGCTAAGGAATTTTGGTGAAACTCTTTGCTGCAGTTCTCGAACATTGAACGTTTCATTTCTACCTCCCTAACCTTTATGCCGTCTCTGAAATTTCTGATAAGTTTGGGTTCTTGTTCAGCGTTTTTTGCAGTTCCAGTTGTTTTAAACCTTTTAACTATTGTTACGACTGGACAGGAGGTTTAGCCGCTTTCCTGATTTTTATGAAGATCAACACAGATTTTCCTTTAATGGGGTTGTGAAGACTGACTAGGAGAAAAAGGCCACTGACGCATCACATTATTGCCAGAGGGGAAACATGAGCACATGGGTTATTGATGATCTTGACAGTCTTTCTTTGGTTAAAGAATAAATTAGTAAATGATTGACAGACATTGATTTTGTTGGAAGTATTATGGATGCAAATAAATCTAGGATTAACTTTTTACGCATGTTTTATTGTTTTTTTGGAAAAATAGGTTCCCAATTTAAAAAAAAAAGTAAATTACTACTGCAACAAATGAAGATGTGTGTAGGTTGTACTATACAGCAAAAAAGTTAAATTTTATGAAGGAAAAGAAAATCAGACTTAACATCTCTACCGATTCTTTTGGATATTGAGGTTTTATTTGTCAAGCGCCAAAATAAATCTCATGTCTGCTTACAATGTTCTTTTTTTATCCTGCAGCTTTAGCCCTGTTTGTTTTATTTTTTTTCACAAGGATAATTAAAGTTTTATCTTATCTTAACACACTGCTTTGAGCCAGCACAATGAGCTCTGTTAAATATTCACTTGGCTGCTTTAAAATGAGACGTGCGAACGTTGTTCAGGTTCCTCTTCAGGGTAAACTGGGTCACGTTTGTGTTGTTGAAACCTCTGAAAGGGAGATGCTGTTTTATTTGAGTCTGCCTAGTGGATTGCTTTCTTATGTTTTCTTGCATTTCTGTATCCAACAGTGATTTCAGCGAAAATGTTTTTAACACTTAAGCCACTGAAAAGATGGAGAGCGAGACGGTGGGGGTGTAAGAAAGGACACAAGTCTGTCAGTAGTTTGAAATCTGTAATCTGGTGTTCAGAGCCATGTTGCTATGAGACCAGGGCTGCACTGTGATTAATCTGTCTTCTATTGTTTCCTAATTGTTGGGGTAATTAACATGTGCTGCTTTTAAGTGCTGTTGGATCTTGGTCGTGAGAATGTCCTCTTGTGCTTATTTGCGCGTCTCTCCTTGAATCCGACTTTAGACTCGTCTGTTCACAAACAGTCAGACTTTTGCTGCTTCAACAAATCCCTCAGTCTTGTTCTGCAGCAGGTGATTCTTACCGTCTCATTCGCTGCTTTGCTTCAAAAGATAAATGTGTACCGTCACAAATGCAGACGCTTTGAATGTCAGTGGGTCAGCAGCCGTCAGAGCATTACGCTTCATTTTTGGATGTTTGACTTTTTTAAAAATTTTTATCTGGATATCTTTTATTGCGGCCGATTAAAATGACATTTCTTTTCATTTGCTTTTGCAGTCGTTGCAAAGCTGATTGAACTCCCTGTTGAAAGGCGAAAAATATAAACCTAATAAAGTAACAGCTTTGATTTAACATGTGAATACAACGGTTTATGCATTCGATTGCATTTTATTTAAGAATTGAAAAGTCTTTTTTAGCACTCCATTTGTACTGACCCCCATTTAAATACATGTTAAAAATGTGTGATACTAATTGGCTGTTTTATCTGTCAGGTTATTATCAACAGCACAATCACACCCAACATGACTTTCACTAAGACGTCCCAGAAGTTTGGCCAGTGGGCGGACAGCAGGGCCAACACAGTGTTCGGGCTGGGATTTGCTTCAGAGCAACAGCTGTCAAAGGTAAACATTAAACATTTCAAGTGTCTTCACTCAAACCTTTATTTATATGAATATATATGTTGGAGATGGATGGATATTTATCAGTGCACAGCTTTCATGGTAATCACACGTTTTGAATGCAGTATTGAAACAAAAAGAGGTGTGGATCCAGTGTTTTTATTTAATTTTTTTTTTTATTTCTAAGTAATGAATCTCCTTTGAAAGCAGCCAGAGGCATCAGAAGCTAAATCAGTGTCGGCTTGTTTAGCCACTCGTCACAACTTCTATTTCTTGTGTTTTCAGTTTGCAGAGAAGTTCCAGGAAGTAAAAGACGCAGCAAAGTTGGCAAAGGACAAATCGCAAGAAAAGGGGGACACGTTGAGCAACCACTCCCAGGTAAAGAATCTCTCAGCTGCTCGAGGAACTCCTCCCTGTAAACGACTGATTGCAACACAGAACATGTTGACACAACTTCAGAAGGAGGACATTATTTAGAAATTCTCTGCAACGACTTATTATCCAGAAATGTTGACTTTCTTTTCACAAAAACATAAGGATCCAGTGATGAGATGATTGGAGGTACATCACTCAGCAGTTTGTTGCCAGCCCAGCTCTCAGGCTGGCAGCGAGTCCAGATGGTAGCATTCAGTCTCAGCCCTGAGACGCAGGGCTCTACTGGACCATATGACATGATAAATACTGGCAAAAGTTTCTTCATCCCTTCTGTCAGAGCTCACATGTTCAGCTTCCTCACACCGTTCATCTGAACGACTGTCTCCTATCATGGAGAAGGCAGAATGTCGGCCCCACGTCCGCGTTCTTAATGTAGCAGCTGCAGGTAAACTCCAAGCCTGTCCTCGTATCTGACTTTATCCGTGTCATCCAGCAGGAGTCTGGACGGGAGACTCCTTCAGCAAACCAGGCGCAGAGCTTCAACGGGACGGATGATGAGAAAATCTCCTTCAGTCCAGAGGCCGCTCAGCTGAAGAGCGAAAACGAACGCCTCAAAAGCGTCGTGGAGCAGAGGTGAGATTTCATTTTATGGCAACATCAGAAGATCTGATGAGGTCTGTGTCTTCCCACCTCATAATTTAGATTTTCCATTTAGTTATTTAATATTGGTATAAATTGTATATGTACACATCTTTCCTTATTGAATAATTATTTTAAAAAAGAAAGTTCCCAACAAAAGTTGTATACCGAGTGCATTTCGATTGTAATAATTTCAACTCTGCTTAGTTGGGGGAAGAAAAATTCAGATTGAAATGAATCTGCATTCAGAGGTAGGGAGGCCATGCCCAGCTGCAAAGGAAAATGAGACTTTCTTGTTCACAGGGAGGGACAGATTGTCTCCCAGTTGAACAGGTGGGGATGGGGAAGAAATTGGAGATATAAACCTTTTGAGAAAATGGAGTTTGGTTATCAAGAGAAAAACTTTAATGTTTTTGTTTTTTTTCCTGGATGCTACAGGGAACCACTTGAAAGAGGATAAAATCTGAGTAAAGTTTATTTTCTGAATCTCATCCGAGCTCACTGGAGCATTTTGGATCCGCCGGAGGCTTCGATTGAACTCGATGGTTTTTAGCCACTTATTCATGGGTATAATTATTCTAATCCAGTGAAATTTAAAATATTAAACAAGCTTCCAAAACACATTTTTCTCCAATCTGTGGGCATTGGGCCAGCCTGGCACCAGTTTCACCAACATGGTTTGAACATATTATTATAATTTTATGTTGCACTGAAAATATTCACCCTTCAGCTTGATTGTTGATGGATGTGAAATAGTTCAGCGTGTTTTATGAGACTGGTCATTTTAACACATTTATATTGTCTTGATGTACGAAATCAACGGAGAAGAACTAAATTCATGAAGCTCTTTATTTTTCACTCCGCACAAAGCAGATCCTCGTCACTTTCATATTTTGTCTTTTTTTCTTAAACCCAAAAGATTTTATATATGTATATATATATATATATATATAATATACAGTTGTGTGATGTCGCATTCCCCCAAACCTCTATGATCTTGATGAGCTGTTGTGATGACTGGAGCTTCACTCTGTTGGGTTACCTGGACCTCAATGCTGTTGCCAAGTGAGTGAATTATAATTGCATGAAAACACCAGATGTGGATCCAGATGGGAATCTAGGGACCTCAGGGCGGCAGAGCCAATTAAAATTATAGTAAGCAAAATTTTCTAGAACTGATTATAGGCAGCAACAGAAAGAGGTTCTGCTTCTCCATTTCTTCACTGTCGTTGTTGTTCATCAGGTCAGCAGGAAGGTTTGCAGCATGAAATGCATTACATGTTTATGCAGCAAGGTTTAGAGTAAGCACAAATATGGAGATCATCTCCAGCAGAAAGATGAATAAAATGGGCAACTGTATTTTTCATGAACGTCTGCTTTGTCTTTTTTTAAATTTAATTCTTTGAGTTGCTGGTATTTGCTCATCTTTCCTCTCATCCAATTGTGCTTATAAAACGAAACCAGTTCATGTCTGTTGATGTTTTTGATGCTATATAAGTGCCATCAGCATCTTAAAGGTTACACCAAATCAGAATGTTTTTATCTTTAACTTCACCCCCTCAAAGAAATGGAGGATTTTAAAATTAAACGTGTAGTTTACTGAGGGACAAGGACTGAATTTCTCTTATGTTAAAGGAATATTTAGCTTCTGCAGTGACACTGCTTGAAACGGCCGAAGGCTGCAGAATGCCGAGGAGCATCCAGGTCGCCATTTCCAGCAAGAACGGAACACGCCAACCCGTCCATGCATAAAGAAACGCAAAGTGATGCATAGCAAATGACCATCAAAAACATCCCCAACCTTATTGATGAAATGCAGCCTTTTAAACTGAGTGTTCCCAGATTTCCTTTTTGCAGCATAAATGAAATGATTCTGTGCCGTTCTGTCGTTTGAGCCCCGAACGGTTTATCTCCTTGACTAATGACACCTGTTGATGCGTCTGCCCCTCTTCCCTCGCAGCAACACCACCGCTAAGAAGTACGAAACGGAGCTTCAGACTTTAAAGGAAAGTAATGCCAGACTGGTGGATTCACTGCAGGAGTCTTCTGCTAATGTGGAAAGCTGGAAGAAGGAGCTTACTGCCTGTCAAGAAGAGAGCAACACTCTGAGGAAAAAGGTAACGTGCTCGCACCGTCCTGCGGGGAAGTTCAAACAAAACACACAAGCTCATCAATCCTGTCGGAGGAGAAGCTGACAGCCCTAAACCTCTGCCTCCAGGAAAACGCAGAACCACTCCATCTCCAACAGATGACATCCTCATCAATAATTTGGCTGATGTATTAATTAAAATCCATTCAATAAGATGAGAGGATTGCTCATAAAACTTTGATTTCGCGTAGGGAGGGAGGGGTGTGTGTGGGGAAATGATCATTAAATTCACCAGAGTCCTGTACTTTTCATTAGTTGCTGTTTTCCCTGCAGCAGAGTCTGACTCCACTATAAATAGAATCATTTCAGTTTCATAATCAATGTGAGCTGCGCTTGCAGCTGGGCTGGTGTTTCCACCGTGCTTTTCCTTTCGCAGCAGACTTTCCTTTTTTAAAAAAAAAAATAAAAAATTTGGTAATCAGTTTCAAGGTGACCCAGCTTGTAACGTAGAACATATCCTGACGATAGCAAACACTTGCTGCATAATAAGTGGGTGTATGCTGAACTACCTTTCCGCAGACAAAAGAGCCTAATTTTCCCTCCTTTGTTCAGATTGCAGAACTGGAGTCCGAATGCAACGAAGCCAATCAGGAAAAGCAGAAAAACGCCCAGCTGACCGTCCGGGTGAAGGAGCTGGAGGCAGAGCTGCAGGAGAAGGAGCAGGTGAGGCTGCAGCACATTCATCTTCAAACAGACTCGCCCTACCAGAGCTGGCTTCTCTCTAAGAGCTTGTAAAGCAAGTGGTTTACTACCACTTAAACCATTGTGATTTACTCAGTCCCCTCGTATGAAGGCAATCACAGCTTTCAGGGTTCCTCTCCACCTCTTAATCCTGCAACACTCTGTTCCCTCGGGAGGTTTTTTATACTTCTGGATAAGAAATCACAGATGGTGGTGGTTCTTCCCCCCCCCTGCTGTTTATTGGTGTCAATCTAGCTAAACCCAGACCTTTACTCTGCCTCTTTGTCTCAGTGCACAAGTCTTAAGAACCACACATTGTCTCTGAGCTTAAGTTTGTGAATGGCTTACTGTGCAAGTGGTTTTATCAGCTTGTGGGCCACCGTAGCTCTGATTAGTGTTGCTTACTATACTTTGATTTCTGCTCCTTTTGTGTTTTACCTCAACTTTGCAGTTGCTTTGAATTATCCCCCCCCCCGCCCCTCAAAGGAAGCACAAATATGTAGGTCTGATTTTAGACTTTTCTTTTTGTTTTGTTTTTTACAGGTAATTAGTCTAATGTAATTATGTATGTAGGCTACACATATTTACGCAAATTAGAGGTTACTGGCAAACCCGGTTTCATTTAATTATACGCTTCTGTGGCTTTTCTCTGTTTCGCTCTCTCTGCTCTCAGGAATGTATAATGTTCCAATTGTGCATTTATAAAAGGATGATACAATTGGGTGCATTTAAAAAAAGGGTGTCGGATTAATAGATGACCTTATTGCAGCGTTTTCTGGTAAAAACAGGTTTGATTGAAAGATTTTCATTGGCCAGCTCGTCCACAGTAATGCAGACGATATCAAATTCAACCATATTGTGACTAATTTAATCTTTGCTTGTTCTGAAGATGTAATTAGGATGACTTTTACATTTCCAAATGTGACAAATTTTTTCACAGTGACTAGAATATGACAGTAGATGAAGTTTCCAATAGAAAATTAAAACTATTTGTATCATTTTTTAATATTTTAAATGCATGATTCGATCTGGTACCTCTACATTAAACTAAACTGACTCAGAGGAAGCACTTAACACCGATATGTTAAAACCCCAATACTGGTAGCTCTGACATCCACAGATCCCTCCAGATGTCTTTGCTCACATTTTTGTCTTTAAGTCAGACGATGACTCGGCGTGTTTGAGGCGTGCCTTAAATTTCTTCCATAGGTGTGACTTTAATTACCTGTAAGAACCAATCAGAAGCTTACAAAGACTTTCACCTGGGCTCTCTTAACTTGTTCCAAGGCATACAAGTTAAGAGCCTTGTTCCAAGAGACACTTGTTTAAAATCCACAAAAGTTTAAATTTCAAATTTTGTGGATTTAAAATTGGCTTTTAAATCCACAAAATCCAATTTTTGGACCTAGAAGAAAGTTGTAATGACTAAACTCTTTGTTGTACTGGCATTTAGCAAGTGGAAATAATGTTGGTACTTCTGAGCTAAAAGCTTCAGGCTCAGACTGATTTAATGTTGGACAATGAGAATAAATGTATGTAAATATTTGGTTTCACTTTAACTTGAATAGCTCAAGTTCATCAAAACGTAACATTTCCTTTTAACGTTTTTAGACAAATTCAGAAACGTTTTTCTAAATCTAGAGGTGTGCGACTCGGGCAGCTGCGTAGGTTGATTTCTATAGCTCCTATTATAAAACTGGATAAAATGAAGAGTCATGTTGCCAGGAGACGCTGCTGCTCTGACTCTGAGGTAGACTGCGTCTGGAATATGCTAGTTTACGACCTGGAAGCGGGAATATTATTAGAACATATACATCTTCCCTCGGACGATGGGGAATCTCTCACCCTGTCGGGAGGGAAAGTAGTTCAAAGAGGCGTGGGCTTATTTTAAGATTACAAGTGAAATATGTGGCCCTCGGGGAGCTCCAGCATTTCTTCTCCGCGCTATATCGGCCATCGTGTTCGGAACGCTGACCCCGGGGGCTCGGAGAGGGAGAGAGGCTCTGCTGTTTGCAGAGCGTCGAGACGCAGCAGGCGGCCCACAGTCTCATCTGCACAGTGACTCACCACCTTCTGTAGATGCTCACTGTCACTACCTCCAATTAAAAACAAGCCAATGAATTATTTAGGACCCACTGTGGCGTTGACCTCTGCGCCGGCCAAACGGAAACTAAAAGGACAAAACTGCCGCAGGTTGCGCCAAAGACTGGGGCAATTATTGCCGGTTGAATTGCTGTGAATAAAGTGGAATGCATTGAAGCAACACAGGATTGACTGTTGCATTTTATAATGCATGAAACTTGGGGCTGCAGCTAAAGATTATTTTAGTTATTGATTAAGCTGCCTGTTACTTTGACGATTAATCAGATAAAAAAATTAAAAAAATTGCAAATAAACGATTCAATTCCCTTTAAAAATGAAAATATATTTTTACCTAAAATGCCAAAACACAGCAGTCCTTTCATTTCATTTGTAGCAAATGATGCATCTGCTGTGAAAAAAAAAAAAAACTTTTAACATCAAAGTGTGAAAAGCTCAGCAGTTTCTGCCTGACTTGGCATCAGTACTGATCTGTTAACTAATTTTTTTATTAATAACTGGATGGCAAAAAGGTGATAATTTTTCACAGAATTTGAAAAGGTCGAAGTTGAAACTAGACCACTTGAATTTCACATAGAGCATATTTACAAAGTTTTTTTTTTTATTTCTTCTTAAATGTAAAATGTATATATTTTTTCTTAGTTTTGAGTCTGTATACTCCAGTAAACAATGAATCGATAACTAAATTAGTTGATTATTTCAATAATCGATTAATCCGATCATTTGTTTCAGCCCTAATAAAAGTGAAATCAACACAAATTGGGGGTTTTGGTGCATAATTTTAAATTCTAACCCTTTTATCTTCTGCTCTTGTACTAGTTTTCATTCTGGTTGTAAAATATGTTTCATTAATTGCGCTTTGTAACAAAACGTCTTAATTGGATTGTTTGTAGATTTCCGCATTTCAATTTGGCAACAGACAAAACACTAAAAAAATATATATCCTTAATGTTTAGAAGTTAATCATGCAGGAAGAATCAACCTGACATTATTTATTTATTTATTTATTTATTTATTTTTAGGTTTTGACTAACTTTTTTTTTTTTTCCTCTTTTCCTTCCTAGGAGTTGGAGAATCTGAGGAGGCAGGCGGAGATAATCCCTCAGTTGATGGGAGAGTGTGAGGGCATCACTGCAAAACTGAAGGTATGCTTAAAGCTCTGGGTGACGATCCCGTTGCCTCTGAGCTTTAATTTGAAGCGGAATAAAAAAGGGGAGCCGAGGGGCCTTGAACACGTCCTGATGCGACGCTGCAAGGCTTTCAGAGGTGAAGAGCGAGTTTCTGTTCATCATTCAGCTCGGGGGCTGGTGACACAACATTCCTATCACGTGTCTCACCAGCATATTGTTGATACTGTGTCTATTAATAAAGGTCTGTGCCCTGCGCAGCTCTGAGTGGATTATTGACTCTTTGTTGAGGAGGAGAAAAAAAAAAGAAGAGCTTTTCAGGGATGCATTGCTCTCAGGATACATTAGTTTCCTGGTGGAGCGGGTTTTCTGTTTAGTGAATAAAATAAAGCACTTCTAGAGGTTTTCACAGAGCTTTAATGATCAAGTCTTATAACACTTCAGTAGGTGTGTGTGTGTGTGTGGGCTGTGCCAGTCGCTTTGTGTTGACAAATAACAAAACAATGCAGGTCCACCTCATGTCAGTCTTTAGAACAAAGAGCTTTTATCGAAATAGACTTTTTTTTTTTTTTTTTTTCCCCCTCCCAGTGATAACTGGACTTTCGGTAAAACTAGAAGAGCCAGGCTCGGTGAATGACGGCACAGGCTGCTGGTGCCAAGACCAACACGAGCCACACTGACGCTCATTTCACCCTGTGCTGGCTGACTCAGAGCAGGATTGATCATCCAGACTGTCACAAATGCGCTGCTTTTCAGTCGCAGCGTGGAGGAGAGTAAAGCCACCGGTGGCATTCCTGTGGCTGCTTCACGTCACAAACTTCACCCCATGACTGGATTCCGCCAGCCGGGTGGAGAATAATGGCTGGAGCAGATTATCTAACCTGTTATACAAACAGACACGGCCCATAGCTGGATTCCTCAGATAGCTCCGTCTGTTGAACTTTAAGCCAAAACCTGAGGCAGGTTTTCCCTTACAAAGTAAATCCCTTTCACGCATCAAAGTTTAAAAGCATGAATATAAAGCGTCTGCCTCCAGGAGGTCAGTGTGGGGCTCCTCTATTTAAAGCTGACCCCCCTCGTGAGGGGATCGGCTTTCGAGAGTCAGCTGTAGGATGCAGTCATGCAGATGGACGTCCCATTTGGCACCCCCTATTTTAATCTCCTCCCTTCAAAAGTATTTGCAGCATTAATGTGTCGCCCGTTTTAAAACCTGATTTAAACCACCAACCTCGCACTCTCAACACAAGTCCTTCCTGATGCTCTGCTTTTCAGGTCAAAGAGGAAATTCATGTTTTCATTCATGCATTTAGGGAATTGAGAAAAAGACGTCGCGTCTTGGAAACGTTTTCACATTTTGTCGTGGTAGAACTACAAACTTCAGTATGTTTTACTGGGATTTTATGTATAAGAAAATGGTTAATTTTATTATTTCTACTAGAGATGCTCTTAGTAATCCTGTCACCTGCAGGAATATTTTAGAAATATTATTGAATGTACTTCGTTAATAAAGAAGAGAGTAGAATGAATGAAGATATTTCGATACAATACTTACAAATAGGAAGGGATCATAATTGTGAGGTTGCCTGAGAAGGAATCAGTTTTAATAAGTTTACATTTCAACTCATCTGGACATTTTACCACTTACTGCATTACTGTCATTTTATTCAGACATTCAAAATATGACATACCAATTTTTGTGTTGGACCAAAACAAGCCTATTTCAATGCATTTCACTTTATATAACGATAAAGTGGAATTTTATTTTTTTTTTATAAATCTGATTGTATTCGGCCACAGCCAGAAGAAAACCTGTTGGAGAGAGAAAAGACATTAGACTGGGGCTCAGGTTCGCCTTCCAGCAGGTCCACAATTCAGCCACAGCTGCAGTGGAATAATTTGGATCAATTAATGTTCATGTGTTAGAGCGGCCCAGTCAAAGTCCAGGCCTAAGACCTATTGTGAATCTGATAAGATTCAAAAGATTTTTGCAAAAACTCCTGACCTTTTCAGATTTTCATTTTGGAAAACTATATACACTTTCCCTCCACATATCTGCACTGCTTTGTCCGTCCATCACACAAAATTGCAATAAAACACATTGAAGTTTGTGTTTGTAACTCGAGGGATATGAAAACTTTTTTCCACTCTGCACTGAAGGGCAACGTCCCCCGAGCGGTTTCTTCGTTCTGTAAAACCGAACATCAATGAAGTCCCTCTACTTCTGAATCAGATCTGATCTTTGAGTTGCATTTGGACTCCCCCCCCCCCCTTTCCCTCTGTATTGTAACTACTTTCCCATCATCTGCCCTGCAGGCAGCAGAATCGCAGAACAAGGAGCTGGAGGGGAGACTCGAGGGACTTCAGATGGACATCAACGACAGTCGGCAGAAACAAGGAAACATGAAGGGCGAGCTGAAGAAGTTCATGGATATTCTGGATGGAAAGCTGGATGAGCTGCACGAGTTCAGACAAGGACTCTCCAAACTCGGTGTTGATAACTGAGAGGAAGTGAGGCAGAGCTGAGAGGTCGGGCATGAAGGATTCACTAAAAATGTCTCTTCAGGGCAGAAACTATGCTGCACCTACATCCCCCAAAGTGATGTCTTCTCTGAATCTATCAGCTTTGGCTTGTAATAAACACAACCTTGTGTG